AAAAGTTACTAGCGAGAAACACTGCTTAAAACCTAATATTGGAAACGAGAAGAATGATGAAATAGAAATCGAAGAATTACCCGATTAGAGTAGTAGAAACTAAAAACGCACAAATATCCCAATTAATCCCATTGAATCCGAAACAATTGAGTTGAAATTTTTCTTAAACATACAAATAAAGTTTCGGAATCAATTCCGGTCCTGAGTGGCGCAAAGAGTAAAAAGTGTCGAAAATCTGCTCGGTCATGGTTTCGCAATATACATAGGGTTGAGCGGCGCACCCTATCTCTTTACTGTGTGTTCTCTTTAATGAAAGCCGAACTGAATCTGTCTAATGTTTAAAAAATGAGTTTTAAGTTCATGGGAAAGGGTACCTACTCGTCCGAAAGAAAATAAATATAAATCGATTTCGATCGGATCGAGATGGGCAGGATGATGAGAACTCGCACGTTTTGTCCCCACTGGCTCATTAACGTTTGGAAATTTTAGGTCACACCAGTAGTAGATTCGATAGTTTTTTTTTAACCTAAAGAACCACTATTTTCTGGATGGGTCTAGGCACTGGCCATAAAATAACAACATTTGGTAGTTTATTATTAAATAGAAAGTTAAGTGAGTTGAAAGAGATATTACCGACCGCACTCCTGGTCACTTTTTAGGCGATTCATCTTGATGGCAATCTTTTACCCGCCTGTCAGCTGTCTTTTCCGCTTTATCTCTTTTTGTTTCTTTATTGTTCGCAATCCAGTTATCGATACACCGCCTATTCCTCAATCCTGAGGGACTCGCCGAGAGATGGATGGATTTTTTATAGCCTTTTGTTATATTCCAATTTGGTAGTTCGTATGTATAATGGCACCGAGATGGATATTCCAGCCTGGCCGTGTGTAAGAGGCCGTGGCTCAATATATATTACGCGAATAAGTAATATTGCGTTGGTCTCTTTCAGTCAGGTTGCTTATCAATCAAAACAAGCGAGTGGCGCGGTAATGGAGAAAGAATGTCTTGGATTTTCAATTTCTCACCTTATTTATTAAATTAAATATTTATCGATCTGTTGTTTACCCACTATGTACGCTGTCTAGTTGCATTTGATATCAAACAGAAAAACCTCGCTTGCTATTCACTTGAACTGTTTATCTACTGGACACTCTGCAGACTTTGTCAATGAAATTTCCCTTGCAATTACTATATAATTTATTATTTGATGAGTTGCGTTTTTCTGCATCTTCTGCAGTTGTTACCGGGTTTGTACAAGCGGCGGAGGTTCTTTTATAAGTGCACATGGACACATTCGCTCCAAAATTCAATGCCTCTGCTTCAGAATGCATCACCCAATTTGTTATTCTTAAAATAACTGTAACGAACTGAATAAGCGAAAGTTTATAACAGATTATTTGAAAATCTCGTCACCTCCATTCCTCTGAAGACTGTAGAATTTGTTAGAAAATGTGGTTTTTTAGTTTTGACTAAATTTTTTAAGTGTTATATTTTGTGGCTTTACTTAAAAATACTGACCATCTGGAGGACGTTTACGCGAAAACTTACAAGATAAATTTAGAGCTTTGTAAAGAATTTACAAAAACTTTTTTCAGTGGCGAATTTGAGATTAAAACGAAAATAAATTCCTACCGTTTTTTCCCGAAATCCATTAAGGTTTTCTCCAAAACCGATCACAGAACTAAAAGTTTTTAATCGAAAACCCATAAAAAACATTATTTTGTTATGATTTTCTTCTTTTTTAAGAATCATAGGTAGTGTGTTCGCAGTAAAAAATAACAAAATTAATTTTGCTTGAAAACTTGTCCCATTCATCGGTTTGCAGGGAACTCTAGAAAACCCTTTTCCGCTTCGAATTTGGCTAGTTTTTGCTGCATTTTTTTGCTTTACTTTCTACTGAAAAACGCTCTATTTTGCAGAGTTTCACTTTAAAATACTGACGATCTGGAGGACTTTTACGCGAAAAATTATAAGATAAATTTATAGCTTTGTAAAAATTTTACAAAAACTTTTTTCACTGTCAAATTGGGGACAAAATCGAAAATAAATTCCCACCGGTTCTGTTTCCGAAAACCATCAAGGTTTTCTCCAAAACCGATTACAAAACTAAAAGTTTTTAATCGAAAACGCACAAAAAGCATTATTTTCCGATGATTTTTTTTCTTTCTTGACAATAATAGGGTGTTTTCAGTCAAAAATTACCAAATTAATTTTGCTAGAAAATTCGTCTCATTCGTGCTTCATTCCCTGCAGGAACTGCAGAAAATCCATTTCAGCTTCGAATTTGGGACAAAAACCAAATCATTGTATTCAGTTTTTTACCAAACGTAATTAAGACTATCTTAAAAAAACGATCAGAGAGCAAAAGTTAACAAAAAATTAATGGAAAAATTCTTCGCCCTCATCGCTCTGAAAACTTCTAAAGTTCCATTAAATTTTCAGCTCATTCCAGTTTTAACAAAGTTTCTATTTAGCAATCCTTTCTACACAAAAATCGCATTCTTTTTGAGTTTTACTTAAAATACTGGCAATCTTCAGGTATTTTCTGTGACAAATTATAAGATAAGTTTTATTGGAACACTCGTCTCCTTACCCGCTTTGCAAAAATGTTTGGAAAACTTTTTGCAGCTTCGAATTTTTTTTTCGCTCGGGACCAAACCCTAATAATTATTTCTAGGTTTTTTTCCAAAAATATTTTTCCGAACTGAAAATACGAAAAAGTTTATAATCATTTATTTGAAAAACCCTTGGAAACTGGAGTTTCTTCACTTTTAGGTCAATATTTCTAAACAAAAAAACCGCGTTTTTCCTAACGTTATACTGTAAAATACTGGCTAAATGAACTGAATATTTTGGGCAAAAAAATGAAGAAATCGATTTTACAGGAAAACTCGTCGATTTTTTTGGACTTTGTTCTGTTGCTGGGAAAATGTAGATTACTTTTTTTCTAGTTATTTAAACAAAGTAGTAAAAAGTTGCTTAGAAAAAATGTTAATAACCCTTTTTAGATGTGAAAATTTCAGTCCCGGGTCTAGTAAAGCTTTAATAAATGAGTTATAACTCATTAACCGATGAGTTATAACTCGTTAACGCAGAGAGCGGCAGCAACTCAATAGCGCAACTCAACACAGTGTTACGCAGGCCGAATCTGAGGACGTTCAATGTTTCAAAACAGCCAGGACGCACATTTAGTAAGTGCACGTGCCGTTTACAGCCACTTCGAGGTTTATTATTTTAAAGAAGAAACTGCAAAAGCTACACGTGCGATTGTGGAGTTCTTTGCTTATTATTTGGAAGTGATGAAGCTTCGGAACAGACAAAATTTGGCAGTAAAGATATAACAGCAAAATGCATCAACATTCAAAGACATTTTTACGATAAAACCCTTCAAATATCTAAAAATGTTCACTATTATATACATTATTTAAGCTTAGGACTAATTGCATACTTTAAAATTAAATCTTTTGTGTGGATAAGAAGAGTGCGGGCCGAACAGGGTTGCCCAGATAACTTTGAATTTGGTACCCGAAGAGAAAATTACTGAAAAAAAGTGATTCTTGAACCTTACTTAAAAAAATTTTTTTTTTTAAGAGGCATTTTTTTTAAACAGCGGAGCTTTCTGCGTTGCGTTAGGAACCCACTTTATTACGAACCTGGTAACACTATTATGTATGTACTTGAATTTAACCGCGTGATATACGAAAACGTCGAGTCACTGAAGGAACCCAGTCGCGTATTATTTCGAACCATTCACCTTCGATCATTGTGGAGCGTTTCATTGCTGATTTATGTGCATTTTTGGAATAATTTAAATAAAAAAAGAATCTAATCAGGTACGTTTTTTAAAATTCTTTGCAAAATCTTTTAAAACATTTTTAGAGAAAGTTTTTAAATACCTACAAACTGTGATATTATTGCTAGAAGTGTTTTCGTTCCAGTCATCCGCTACAGAAACAGTTCAAAAATATCACATATCAAATTAGTTTTCCATATTTACTAACGCTATAGATAACGCTCCAATCTTGAGTCTTGAGATAACAAGTATTGAATATTACACGGTCGTTAATCAACAGTTGATGTAACAGTCTGCTCGTGTTATTTGAAGAAGTTGGTGGTGGAACAAGAACGCAAGATGCCGCTCGTTACCGATGTTCAAGTGCTCAAGGATTTGGCCACGAGGATCAGAATTCTGAGCATTCAGTCCACAACTGCTGCCAATTCTGGGTAAGCTTTCGATAGGAGAGGATAGAAGAGGAATATTGATAGTACATGAGCACAGAACGCCTGCACGTTTGCTTTCATCTGGCCTTGAAACTGTAGTAAATTAACGGCAAATAGAGAGCAATGTCGTCCAAAAATATATAGTAGATGAAGTGAACCTTCCAATCTAATCAGAGAAAGTTTTCGAAAGCAATTCCTATTAGATTTGAATAGTATGCAAATAAATCAAATCATGCTAAATAATGTTGGTTTAATAATGCCTAAGTACGATAAAGTAAGTAATGTAAACTGAAGGTAAGTCGTAGTGTAGGTGTTATTTTGCTGTTTGTGAGTGCGCAAGATAAGCAAACTTTGAAATGTGATATCGATTCTTAATTTATATGGCAAATAGTACTTAGAAAAAAATTACGATACTTGATGATGCTATAATAATCATTTGGTGCCGGTTAGAAAGAGAAAAATCGCATTTGGGAAGCTGAAGAAAGCTCGAAAGTAAATAAAATGTCATTAAAAAAATTCAGTTTTAAAACATGAGAGTTCGGAAAGACATTGAAATGTATAATTCGACAGTTTTAGTTAATGATAAAATATAATGCCAAAGGTGCCTATGAAAAGTTGGAATATTTTTTCGATTTTTCTCGAGTGGCGTCTCGAGACGATGTTTTCAAGCAAATTGATTTAAAAAAATGTATACCACTGACCGTTTCAAAAATTCTATCTTTTTGGTTTAAGCGGCAAACATTGACCTTTCCGTCTCTCCCCAATACTTCGTATCTTCCTTCCTTTCTGGAAAAAAATTGCTTATTGCACAGTATGTATTTTTAAGCTTTTTGGCATCCAAATTTGTCTTCGTTTGGGAATTTTTTGACTGGGCACAAATTTGCGTGGACTTTTAGCGGAAATGCACATTTTCTTCTGGTAGAGGTCTGATGTTTTTTAATTGTCTGAACGTTCTGAAAAAAATTAAAATTCTGTCGGAGTCGCTCACAAAAAGTTCGAAATTCAATATCACAAATAAATTAGTTGATGCTGTTTTGAGTTTTGCATTTTTGAAAGTCTTAGGCGTTTAACGCCGGGCTTGAAAACGGTTATTAGTGGTTTGTGTTTCTACAGGTTATTAGGCTACCAAAAGACCCAATTTAAAACTATTGATTTTTTACCTGGCATTTTGAGAGTCAAAGTGGATTTTTTTTTAATTTCTGTGAAACTTGACTATCAGCATACTAATTCCCTGGCCTTTTCCTGCTTTTAAACAAACTGTGACTTCTAAAAATTTAAACCTCAAAGGCACGAGTAAATGAATTATTTTTTTTGTATGTTTTATGAGAGCGTTTGTACTTTATAAAGCGGAATTTGTTTCCCCTTTAAATTTGCCTTTCAATCATTGGTGATATTTAAGTAAAAACCTCCGAGAAATTTGTTTGGTTCCATTCGAAGTTTCATTCATAAGTTTCATTCGAAAAAAATCATTTTTTGAAATTGCATCTAATCAACAACATTTATGCGGAATACTCGGTGCCCATTTGGTATCTGCATACTTTAAATTAAAGCGGAAAAGAGTCTCGATTTTAGATTAATTTATTTGTTTTTCATTGCAAAAACAGTAAAATTTTCTGAAATAAACGTTCAAACATTTTCGGGGACATATCGGGGTAGCGATCTTTGACTGCTCGTAACAGGTTTTCCTTTCGACCCTCCAACCAACAGAACAAACTGACCAAATGGGAACTAGAAGTTTTCAGCGTTAGAATCATACTAGCATTAAATTAAATAAATTGCAATGATAATGTAGAAGAACCAGGAAAGGTTATCAAGGAGAAGCAGCTGAAGAAGTGTAGAGAGTCGCAAGACCTTGGCGACTGATAAAAGTATTCAGAAGAAATGCCGCAAAAATAACCATTCGCGAAAAACAATTCTGTGATGTATTAAAGTCGGGAATACATTGATGTAATCGCATTAGAAGGTTCAGGCTATTTTAAGTTGTCTAATCGCTTCGAGAAAAATACAATGTCATCACTTTGACCTTATTACACTTGATTTGTTCTAACTTAAGCGGTCATGTGGAGGTCAAGACTTATCACCATATTTCCATTTCAGTGAAGAACTTGAACGGTAATTATTTAACTATTTTTACATAACCAGTAATAATTTCAATCATTGTCTACCTACAGTTTCCAGCGCGTAAAGTTACCTAACGAGTATTGACGTAAAAAGACGCAGATGAACTTTTATCAGCACTCGATTGAAGTGCATTGATGTAGTTTCTCCCAGGAAATGTTCGTATCAAGACTGCCACTTTACAAACTAAATAATTCCAAATCAAAATTAATTCCTGGGTTTCAGTCATTTATCGTCTCTATTTATCAATTAAAATACGTTTCGGTGCATTTTTCCAGCATCATCAGTTTTTCTAAAATAGCAGATAGTTAAAACAAATTTTCAGTAATTTAAAAAACAATCACAGTTCGTCAACAGCCTCATCATATCACACACTAAAATACATCACAATTGCAACACTTTAATTAGGCCTAACAGGTGATTAGTCAGGACAATCAAACTTGGGAAGAGACTAGAATTCTTTGTTCAGATACTTAAATATTTTTACTTACATGTGTAGCGTTGTTGCCGCTTTAAGCCTTTGCCTACAACTATCCAAGGTCATTTTTTGAACCAATCATAAAGCAAAGGATAAATAAAATATACAATTCAACTAAATGGAAAAACATAAATAAAAGAAGA